TTTTTTTTTAAAAAAAAAAAACTTAATTATTATTGGGACACTATACTCAAAGTGTGTATAGTAATACACAGGTTCGTTTGTCTGCACAAACAACGTCCGTGTTCTCGACATTTAAACATTACAGAGTTTCCAAGTTCACACTTGTTTTTCTACTCAGCCTCATTTTCTCTAGTTAGTCTGGCCTTACAACACAGTAGAATATGTCAGTAAATGTGTCTAGAAAACCCAGGAATTCAGTGATAAACACAACATTAAACCTCTCATCTACTGCTTTATCAAACAGGTAAACTAAATTACGTTAATGTGATTCCTATATGTTTGTAACATTAAAAGCCTATTTGGCAAATAAATAAAGTCGAACTATGGAGTCTTTTTTTTTTACCCGCATATACATTTTGTGTCACCTTTCAGGAGAATATTTCTCAATTATAAAAAACATTTGATTGTTTTGGTGTCATTAGGTGATGTGTTATAACTTTATTAAAGCTAATGTGAGGCTAAACGTCTGGCATATTTGTTATGGTGTGAATGTCTTTTGATGGCAAAGCGTGATTGTAATTAATTGTATGAGATCGCGAAGAAATTAATGTCGCGTTTTGAAACACTTTCATTAACCACCCCCCAAAAAGCGTACATCACGTATAATAGTTAAACGAACCCTTAAACGTCACGTTAGTGTAGCTTATATAATGTGTAAAGTTTAGTTTACTCTAATCCCTTATAGTGATGGCACACGATGAGACACATTCGGCATGTAATGCTGTTTGAATACAAGAAGGGAAACATCGACTCTGTAGCCACAAAGAATATCAAAGATGTTTATGGAAATGTTTAGAACGTTCGTAAGTGTCAACGATGGTTCAGCAAATTTCGTTCAGGTGACTTTAGCCTTAAACACTGTGATGACAGAGGCCGACATGTTATCAATTGATATTGATGCTCTGAAGACGCTTGTTGTGTCGTGAAATGGCCCTGAAATTGCATGTCTCTCATGAAACAATACGTGAACATTTAAGGAATATGGGAAAATTTCCTAAAGAAGGTGTTTGGGTGGCTCACGAACTCTTCGATGATCATCGTTTCCAACGTCTCTTCTGGCGCGTAATGCACGTGAACCATTTTCGGACAGTATTGTCACCGGTGATGGATTCTCTATGCGAATATTAAACGCCAAAAACAATGGCTCAGTCCTAGACAAAAACCACTTCCGACCCCTGGACTCCATTCGCAGAAAGTGATGCTTTGCATTTGGTGGGACATCAAAGGAGTAATTCATTTCAAACTCCTCGATCCACAGCGAACTGTCAATGCAGAGATCTATAGTCAACAACTGGAACGTTTAAATCAAGCCCTTCATCAGCACCCCCCTTTGCACATCAATTGGAAATGTGTTCTTATTCTCCACCCCAATG